AAACATAAAATCCAAATGTAGTAACCGAATGGCAAGATTAAAACCTGCATTCCAACAAAACATCTATGCATTAATCATGTGTATTTTTTTTACATTTCTTTAACACACACGCACATACGCGCGCGCCCGCACACACAGACAGACACACAAACATTAACGCTCTATTCATATATTATATGCAAAATATGAATGACTTTCTTGAATTTAGTAATACAATATTATTAGTGTTACGGCATTCAATATCAAATTTACTTTCAAAATGCGTTCGTACGGCTGCCGTAAGGCTGATGTGATAGAGGCTTAAGTCATACGGTCTGGTCCGTACAGTCGGGTTCGAATGAATGGAAGTGAATACGTTTTTCGTTATTGTCGTCAAAAGTCATAGTATATTACATGTAACAATAAAAAAATCGCATTTATTTCTAAAATCTTAATTATAATAAATGGATAGCTGTAAGAAACGTGTGATATTATATTATATTATATTGTAAATTATATATTATAAAGTCGTATCAAAAATGATTAAGTGTTAAGTCTAAATTAGGTAGGACCAAACATCTGATTTTAAGACCACCTTAAACAAAAACCCTCTGTATATGGACAATTCTATTTTATACATTTCACCTTTCATGAGGGCCTTCAAATAAATAGGGTTTTATTTGTATTTGAGCATGTTAAAAACATTTTTCTTTTTTTTTTTTCAAAAAAATGTCGGTCCGTGCACACATTTCACGTAAAGCTTTATGTTGTGTGACACTCCAATGACATAATGATTATGCATTTTATGACATATTGCAAAATGTTTGTAATGACAGAATGAATAGATAATGATATTTTGACATCTAAATAATTTAAAATGAATTAAAGTGTCTATCAATCAATGATAATGATAAAACACCACGACTTTCATTTCTATTTTCTACGGTGTTCTGTTAGGGACATTGCCTGTGTAGGAAAAAATAATAAATAATAGAGCCGCAAAAACACCAGAAAAAAAACGATGATGAAAGAAAGTACGGTGACGAAAATGCATAAATTATTCTCTGCCAATTTTCATCAGCGTGTATCATTGTACTTTCGTGTTTTCTTTATCGTACTTTCGTGTTTTCACGTTTTCCCCTTCCTACTTCCGCGTTTTCGTCATCGTACTTTTTTTTCGAATCTTCCATTCAAAGGCGATGGCTCTAAAGTAACAACGTAATTTCCTGTACTTTTTGCCTTAACATAAACGCTGTCAAAACAGGAGACACGTGGGGGCTCGTGCAGTGTAAATAAGATAAATAATATATTAAAATTTACGACTGAAGTGACTCTTTGCCTGATGACGTGTGACCTTTTAAAAACCTTTCGCACATCAAATCATTTGTCATATACTGAAGAGATTCTCAAAAACAAAATTGGTACGATTACAAAGCAGAAAATATCACATTTGGGCGCAATAAAGTTTGCAATGCAACAGACTAGTTCCCACCGACAGCAGACGAGTGCTTGAAGAAAAAGGCGGGAAAATCTGTATATAAGCTCATCGTATTCATGTTTGTGCCAAAATTTATAACTACAGAAAACTTTAACGGCACCTTTATATTAAGTAGGCATACATTTTAGAACTGTGTTTCATTTAATTTCTAAGTTTCTTTGGCTTATGTGTTTATAATGAATAAAAAAATTAGGATCAAATTCATTGCTCGGACAGAATGAGTTACAACCAAGAGATTAAGAGTTTAATAACTTCCCGGTGCCGCACACTGTCCGGTAACTTGTAATGCTATTCGCCATTTCTTTCACGGTCTTTGCCGGACAAGTTATTCGTGTGTAGCACTTATGATGGTATTTTATTTTTGATAAGGCCTAAATTCAGGTTTACAACGGCCAAAAGTAAAAAAAAAATATAATTTTCGGTTTAAATCTAAACTTGTGGATTAATTTGCGTGCTATAAATCAATGATCTTACATAATCACTCTGTAAAGATCAGTTCTGATCGCCCATATTGCTAAATTTAGAACTTATACGTATATCGAAATGTTTGTAACTGGCCAAAGAACTTCAAGATTAACCCAGTACCGTGACAAATCAGTCACGTGACGCAAACATGCATGTTTTAACTGGAACAACCTTGTTTTGCAATGCTCATGCACATACAATAAATGAAGTGTATAACTTTTTCAATCGTATATAATCTTTCATTCGGACAATCTCGGCATTTTACGTCTGTCATACATACAAAAAAAAGTAAGAATTAGTCATAAGAAATATATTTGATTATGTTTTAATGATGTCTCTATCACCGGTTGCATGTCAGTCTTAAGCTATTTGTACATAGCAAGCTTTTGCAGTTGTAAGAATCTGACTTACAGAGTAAAAAAACGCACACATTTCATTAAGCTTATGTATTATATCTGTACAGATTTATCATTTTTCCAGGGATTGCACATAAAGGTCGAGGAACTTGTCACTTATCCGGTTTTTGTTCAGAGATAAATTGGTTAGTTTGCGCGCTAAAGTTTATCTTGGTTATGTTCTTTGGGGTCTTTTTTTAATTCCTTTTCTGTTTAACTTTATAAGAAATCACTTCTTTGTTACGGTCGTGATTTTTTTGACGCCAGAGAGGACGAAATTATCCCATCTAAACTGCTAAATTTGTCGAATTTTTATTGGTCCCGTTTGAATTTAGAGCAGGACATTCAAAGTTGTAGGTTTTGAATATCGAAATAAAAAAATAGCTACAAAAAGCGTAGAGGGCCTGGTCAGACAGCGCTGATGTGTATAAAGGGGAAAAACAGCAACTGCAACAACAACAAAGAACAAAGAAACAAAGAAATGATTTGCCAGAACGTAACCACTTAAAAGATTTTAAGTAACTCACCTTTTAAAGGCTGTCAAAAGATTGAGAGTTTTGGGGTTTTTCTTTTCTTTTTTTTTGGGGGGGGGGCGTTTTTTTTTTTTTGTTTTTTTTTGGTGGGGGGGGGGTCTTTTTTTTTTGTGCAATATCTTATACTTAAAACTTTGCGCTGATTGTCCGTTCCGTCTCGTGCACTGAGGCCCTGAGTAACATGTTCTATTTCCGGACAAGTGTCAGACGGAGGACTATGGCAGTTACCAGAATAGTTCTAGAACTCACCATTCTTGTTTTGAGAGGTGGTCACGTTAACCACTAAGCCACCGTTTCCCTCAACCTTATATTGCTAGGTACCTTAAATGGATTAGTCCATCTTTCAATCTGGACAAAACCACTCATCACGATTAGGGACAAAATCAAAATATATACTGACTGAATATCGAACAGTGTAGACCGTGATCAGACGACATGGACTTGCCAGCTGATCTTGGTCTGCACTGGTGGAATCTGTTGCCGCAAGCAGCTAAACTTCATTGCAATATAATCGATATTCGATATTCGTTAATAAATCATGATAGCGAACTAGATTACTTTTACATTTAATTGACAGGGAAAAATACCAGCGGAATGTCTTTGACATTATTCAAATCCATCAAAATGTGTGTCAATCAATAAATGTTATTGCCCATTTAAGGTTACTTTAAGCCCATTTAATCTGTAGTTTCGATGGTTTTATCTAGCCATTTCCTAATAAGCTAAGATCTTGGTAACATCCCAAAAGTTCAACAACTCACTTTAAGCTTTTACATACATTGTTTTTTCCTATATCTCCAAAATTCGAAAGTGTGTATGTGATTTAATTAGACGCAACTTTTCGGACCTTTGATTATAATGAATTATCGTCGAGGTGATCCGATTGCATTAGACGCTTGCCGTATCCGGTGGCGGTACAAATTGTAAAAGTCTTAAAGCCTTCAAATTTATGCTAATATTCATGATCTGTTTTGAAATGTTTTTAAAAGTAGAATATTGACAAGTGAAAAAAGTAAGTAATGAAGACATTGCAAAGGCACTTAAAATCTAAGAAAATTACCCCCCAAAAAATGTAAAATTGCAATATTTAGCCCTTGCTGCGTTATAGTCACATATTAAAAAATGTGATAAAAACTTCAAAGTCAGACATTTATTGCAAATAAAATGAAAATTATTTCTTGACTTATGAATATTTTTTATAACATTTCTGAAAATCTTAGTACATTATTCTCAAGGCTGATTTTCTTGAAATACTTTGACTCATCTGGAGTCATGCAACTTAGAGTGCACCAAGGAACGTAAAGAATAAGGAGCAATATGTGTTAAATATTTTAGACAAAAATAACTTATCGGATAAAACATGGGGTAAAATTTTTCTGTGGTCGTGTAAAATTGCAACAAAATGAGAAAATAATTGACAATTTCTGCCTATCTATCGTGCTGTATTATTTTTTTGGCATATGACAGTACCCTGCTGATTTCGTGTAATGGACCCGCCCTGCTTTGAATTTGGAACCTACCACTGTTAAATTAAGGAGGTTTGTATATCAAAATGCTCAGAGAGGCCCGGTCCATTTTATGACAGTCGACTTTTTTCACGATATGAGGCTAAAATAGCAGAAAGGCAAGAGATAATAACATGACAGGCGCGTGTTTATCTATTTTAGGTGGTGTTCAGAAATCAACTTGATAAAAACTTGTTGACACTTCCCACTTAAGAAAATCAAATTTATCTTTCAACAAAATTAAATTGTATATCATAAAAACGACTATTTAAATAGTTCGGCCAGAACAAGCTTGGGGGCACTACAATTTTTAGATTTTTGTATTTAATATTTCGTTTTCATGAATTTATAGTAGGCCATGAAGTGCGACTGTATATTAGCTGTATAATTTGTCTATTTATTCAAAATAAGGAATGGTCTTATTTGCCCAAATTTACGTTTGACAACTTTATAATACCAATATATATTTGCCGATGTACTTCTATCTGAAATTGCCAGCTCTATTTGCACTCCGCGATTAGAGATTTCAAGTACCTCCCTACTATAAAAACTCCGGGATTTCAAAAACATCGATTTCAGCCAAACTTCAATACAACTCAAAGAAAGCGAAAAACATTTAATGAGTTTACTTTCATTTATATTTTATCTTAAGGCGGATTCGTGTTGTACCATTCTTTTTTCCGATACCTGACGTAGAGGGTCTACAAAGTTAGTTTAAAGGAGTCCTCAAAAGAGGGCTATTATTTCACAGCCAAAAGGTTATACGCGCTTTAATTTTGAATCGTAATTTATTAGATTTCAAATATCTCTTTCGCTGAGTAGATAAAGTTTATAACGAATCAAAAGATATTTGTTTCCTAAGGTCGAAAAACTTTCAATACTACGTCATTGGAGCTGAATACAAAAGTTTGTAAACAAGACGTCTTGAATAGAAAATTGTATCAAGTGCTAATGAGCGGTACCGGGTATAAAGTACTAAAATATCGTTTTAATTAAGGGACTATCGTATTTCGTCATTTAAACTGTATGTCGTCTGCTTGTGAGAAGGACGTTGGTCTGTACATGGAATAAATTGAAACAAAAGGATTTACGGTAAAAAAAAATCGACGTCAATTAACGAAATTATATTGAACTTGAGGCATTACTGTTCGAAAATTTTGCAAATTTTAGACAATACTTTGATCATTTTGGAAGAACAAACTTTTTCGTTGTGTATATATATATATATATATTAAAAGTATTAATCTTAATCTATCTGACTTTTTAATCAGCTAAATTTCAACACAAAAAGCTGCGCAAAGGGAAAATAATTAGTGATAACTGTACCATTATGTGTTGTAACTGAGAACGTTTTATTTTTCATATTAGCCATATTATTTTCCATTTAAGACAAAAAACTTACATAGAAAAAATAGTTACGGTTTCGGATACAAAAGACTTGATTATAAAATCATATCTTACATCATGACTCTGAAAACTGCTGATGCAGATGTGGACAGATATATAAAGGAAAGCTGCAGAAGTTTTAAGGAATGCGAGGTCAAGAATACGGCCAGGAGAAACTCCTTATTGAAACGGACGCTGGGGATCGAATCAGAACGTAGAATAGCCAGCGCCAAATTATCGAGGGAGGAGAGACAGTTACGGGAACAGCTTAAACAGATGAATATTGAAAAGGCCAAAAATCACATAGTTCACAATTTAAGAGGTTTGTAAATTGTTGTATTTCATATCTTTCTTTTGTTGTGCAAGCAATATAAGGGTAGGGACACTGCTTTTATTTTGTAATCTGAAAGTTCACTTATTTTGAAATTTTTGTGATTTTTGAGTTAGTAAATTAGACAATATAGATTAATTAGGCAATATAAATTAAATAGAGCAATAAACATCAGTTCTTTTATGTGGATTCTTTAAAATGATGGCCAAGAGACCTCAGTTTATTGTCCACCTTAAAGATTGTTACATACATATTTACTTGTAAGATAATGTACTTGAGAGATCGGACTCGTACTTTTGAAGTCGTTGATTTGACGTCACATTATAAAAACATCGTACCACGTGCATTTCTAATTTTATTGTAATTTGCATGTTAAGATATTTTAATAAATAACATTTCATGTTTTGGAATGATATTAACTAATCTAAGCGTTGTCTGTTATGAAGCTCCGATGGACATGACACTTACCTGCACAACTATATTTTATCCCGCAAGGCAATTTTAGACGCAGATATATTTTTTTCAACGTATCATTAATAAACACTATTTTTGAAAACGCCGACATAATTTGTTTAATGTGTTTAATTTGTCATTAGCGATATCAATGATTAAAACATTTACATTTAGCAAAACCACTTTCATCATTTCTATTGGTTACGTAAATAATTTATCTCTTGAAAATCTATTATTCCGTTCATTTTCTTTCATTCCAAAATTGATTGTTTTCATAGAGAAATTATTGTTTACTTAATACTGTAAGGAAAATTGGCATTTAGAAACTATTAAAGAATTCAATGCTCATCTATTGCGAGATACTTTTAATGGTATCGTTAATGTTTAAAGCTATAAAACAGACTCAGTTTATATCAAATCCAACAGAATGAATTAAAAAATATTGAATATGGCGTAAAAACGAAAGAAGAAAAGTACAGAAACAGCATTTTGCGTTATTTTTCTAACGCTATCTGGCGGTTAAATTCTGCAAAATCCGGTGCTAGGGGGCGTGGACGGTAGTTTGCACTTGACAGTAACGTCCATGAACAGGCTCAATCAAACCGAGCCTGCAACATTTTCAGTTTTGACGTGTTGGGCTTTCTTAAGGGATTCTTATTTTCTCTTTTTTACTACAGTCTATTCAATGCGTTACTAACGCTTTCTTCAATGCGCGTGTTGCTCTTTACCTCATGTGTCTTAAAAGATTTATAATTCATTGCTTTTCTAACCGCTTACTCATTTTTTCTGACTGCATTTTTAACAGTTTCCTACATACGTTTCTAACAGTGTATCCAATGTTTTTTGTCGATTTATTACTCAATTCGTTTCTTACGTTTTATTCAAAAATTTATAAATGGTTCACTCAATTCGTTTTTTCTCAATGCGTTTCTAACTGTTTATATAATACTTAACTCAATGTATATACAAAAGCCAACTTAATGCGTTTCTTAACGGTCAACACAATGCTGTTTATTTCATGCGTTTCAATGCAGTCTATTTCATGCTTTTTTTGAAAGATCAACACAACGCTGTTTATAACATGCGTTTCTCAACGGTCAACACAATGCTGTTTATTCCACGCGTTTCTTAACGGTCAACACAATGTTGTTTATTACAAGCGTTTCTAAACGGACAACACAATGCAGTTTATTCCATGCGTTTCATAACGGTCAACACAATGCTGTTTATTGCATGCGTTTCTCAACGGTCAACACAATGCTGTCTATTTCATGCTTTTTTGAAAGATCAACACAACGCTGTTAATTCCATGCGTATCTCAACGGTCAACACAATGCTGTTTATTCCACGCGTTTCTTAACGGTCTGCACAATGCTGTTTATTACATGCGTTTCTCAACGGTCAACACAATGCAATTTATTCCACGCGTTTTTAACGGTCAACACAGTGCTGTTTATTCCATGCGTTTCATATCGGTCAACACAATGCATTTTATTCCATGCGTTTCTTAACGATCAACACAAATGCTGTTTATTCCATGCGTTTCTTAACGGTCAACACAATGCTGTTTATTCCACACGCCTCTTAACGGACATCACAATGCTGTTTATTCCATGCGTTTCTTACTGATCAACACAATGCAGTCTATTTCATGCTTTTTTGAAAGATCAACACAACGCTGTTTATTTCATGCGTTTCTTAACGGTCAACACAGTGCTGTTTATTCCATGTGTCTCTTAGCGGTCAACACAATATCGTTTATTCCATGCGTTTCTTGACAGTCAACACAATGCTGTTTATTCACGGTCAACACAATTTTCCTTGTTTTGTTCAATGCGTTTCTTAACGATCTTAGCTGATTATTTATGCGTTTCTTATTGACTACTCAAAGCGTTTCTCACGGTTTACTCATATGTTCGCAATAAAAAGATAATGAATTATGAAGAAACCCGTTTTTGTACACAGTTAAACTGGTGGGATTTTGAGTTAAAACATTTTGTTAAAGAAGAAATATTATATAATAGCTGGTAGCTTTGTACTAAAAGGAGAAGATCTTTTAATAGTACAAGTGCAATTATCAATTAAGCCAAAGAAATCAAGATTTGTAATCATTTCGTCCTATTTATTTACGCATTGTCACTTTAAATAATAAAAATAATTTCAAATCAATGACTCGTGTTAAACTTTTTGAAACATATATAAAACATTTTTGTATACGGTGTTCATATTTTGACCTTCTTTTTTAAACAAGAAAATGGACACTTTAACAAGTTCATTAAACAAATCGTATGTACTGTATTTAACTATGTCCCGAATAGCCAGATTTGTTTAGTGAAGTGTGTTAAAATATTTAACAACTTACCGTCAATTACAATATTGAACGGTTGTTATTTTAATGTTCATCTATAAACTACGATGCATTTGATTTTATCTTCATGAAACAATAAATAAATAAAATGCTTACCAAGTTTGGATATACATGTATAGTATGACTACTGTTTATATAAGGTCATATAAACACTCAGAATCTTTATAACTGCATAACCTCTCAAATTCTTTATAACTATAGAGCCCCTCAAAACTTTTTTTACATTAAACTGCATAACCTCTCTAATTCTTTATAACTAAAGTGCCTCTCAAAACTTTTTATAAGTGCATAATCTCTCAAATCCCTTATAACTATATAGCTTCTCAAACATTTTATAACTGCATAACCTCTCAAATTCTTTATAACTATATAGCTTCTCAAACATTTTATAACTGCATAACCTCTCAAATTCTTTATAACTATATAGCTTCTCAAACATTTTATAACTGCATAACCTCTCAAATTCTTTATAACTATAGAGCCTCTATAAACTTCTTATAACGGCATAACCTCTCAAATTCTTTATAACTATAGAGCCTCTATAAACTTCTTATAACGGCATAACCTCTCAAATTCATAATAGTCTCTCAATTTTTTTTATTACTTTATAAGGTCTCAAAATTTTTATTACTGTATAACCTTTCAAAATCTTTATAACTTTTATAACGTAAAAAAGTATATAGGAAATCTTGAAAATGGAAATATTGAAATGTCTGTTTTTTTCAGGGGTGTGTCATAACTGGAAACTTTAGATTGTGTTTTAAAAAAAAAAAATCATGATACTGGTTTTGATTGATTATAATTTGCTGTCCTATCCAAAGATGCGTTTGACCCTTACCACCCTAAATGTCGTAAATGGACTTGTCTGTCTTTCGGTCTTGGCATAACCATTCAATTTTTAGGTAAATATTCAAAATATTTACTGATTGAAGACGAACAGTGCAGACCATGATTTGACGGCTGATCTTGGTCTGCACTGGTCGCCCGGGGAGATTCCGCTGCAGACGGCAGGGTAAAGGTTAAAGACCCCGACGGTCCTAGGCAGTGAGAAAATATAACGTAAAGTTTCTTGAGATTAAAAAGGAAAATATAAGTCATTTTTATTTTCTTATTTCGCACTTTTATTCAATCGAACACTTCATTTTAATGACCTGTAAAAGTGGACTTGTAAATATGTCAATTAAGACTCTTTTATAGTTTATACTAAGTAAACATACCAAATTCCTTATATACGACAAAAATGTAGGCCACAGGCCTGTTATAAAGTGGCAATTATTTATGTAGAATAAGCTAGTAAATAAAGTGTAACAGTGAGAGTGGATTTTATTGTTAAATAGTGTTCTAAATTACGGACAATAATAAGTACGTACAGACGGAAATGTGTCGAAAATAATCATCTAGTTTTGTAACGAATATAATTATGTAATATAAAATGGGCCTTGTAGTATCTTACCAGCACTCATGACTGTGTGCACACTCCAGTGAAAGTAATTAAAGGCCCATTATTCCCCAGAAATGCTTTTATTTTATTCCTCGAAATCTTTCTATCTTTGTACTTTAACAGATTTCAAATATTTATTCATTTTCCATAACCCTTAACCGTCTTTTTTCTGTTGCTATTTTTGGCAATTAGTACAGTTATAGTGATTCAGTATTTAGTTAGGAAGTCATTTTGCTACTTTTATATGCCAAATATTTTTTACATTAAGCGCTACTCCCTTCAGATAACAAGCATCTAAAATTCCCTAAACTTATTCATGTTACTTATTAAACGTTATAAAACTCATTCTTATACTTTCTAAGGAAAATGAAATTTATTCGTGCCGGAGGCATAATGTTCCTTTAAATTTTATCAATGCCACTGTGGCATCGTTATATGTCGCAACGACGCCAAATGTCGCACTTGCCGTTAAATGTCGCAATGATGAAGTTAAATGTCGAACCATTATCTCTTACCGTTAAATGTCACAAAACTACCGATGAATGTCACAGTATCTAAATTCTAAATGTTAAATAACTAGTATTATGTCAATATAAACGTTATGATATGGGTTTGGGGACTCTCTATATATCAGATGAGAAAGAATTCGTTGTGACCTACAACATAATAGATTTAAATTGAAGACATCTTAATTAATAAGTAAGCCTTATCTTTTATATCATTCACTCATAAATTCATAGAAATAGGGTTATTCTTTATATTTTCATGTTATTTGAAATGGCATTGAATTGATGTACTCCGTTTGATTTGAAATTGCTTTTACTGTGTGACAAAAAAGTGTTTTTTCGATGCATCTATCAAAGATAACTTTTCCATTTTGAAAAAATGTAACAAATGAAAGTCTAAAGGCATATCCTACAGTAGGCAGATTGAACACAGTATAATAGATTTTTTTAACTTTGAAAGAGCCTTTAATCAAAAGCAAGTGTGCAACACTGCTGGAACCGAAATGAATTTACAAGCAAGTATAGAAATACATGTAAACTAGACTGCACATTCGTCTCTGCACTTATGTGTGACTTATAGGTAACTAACTTTTTATGATTCATAGACATTCCTAAACAATGGAACCTTGAAAAGTGCATTTTACAAATTCAGCAGGTTAAGATTAGGCTTGCAAATATGTACAGTCTTACCAGTGTCAGAATTGTCGGATGCCCAAGTTTAATCTTTTTTTTTCTTGCGGCCCATCACATTACCTTTACAAGTATAGAAATTAAATGCGTACCTTGACAAAAACAGCCTCAGGTTAATATTTGCAACAAAGCCTATATTGAATGCATATAAAACGTTTTTGAAACGTTTCTTAACAATTAAATAATTCTATCATAAACCTAGAAGGAAACGTAGAAAAATACGGAAACTAAAAATTTTCCAAGAAATCAAATATGATTTTTAAAAAAATCATAGCGATTTTAACATGGCAAAATCTGATCCCCCGATTGATTTGCGTTACTGGTGCTGTATATAAACTAATTCAAGACATATTTTTAAACATTAAGCCTGCTTATCAAGTACAAAAAGGAAATGGCATATATTTTAAAGTCTGCACTTTACTAAAAGAGCGAACATCTTTTTGTCCCTATCTCGTTAGAGAAGGGGAATCTTGTGATGCGTGTGGTCGCACGGTCACTTTTTCTTCCCATATGTCCTCGATGCATGTATGTGGTCAAATGATCGAAAAATTAAATTACAACGTTTTCATAACGGATAATGGTACAGAAACTTTTGGTGTAAAATCTTCATGATTTTAGTGAAACTCGTAATAAGGAGAATTAAAATCTTAATTAGGACTTTGTTACCTTTGTTTAGGGGTACTAAAACACCAATAAGGACTTTGTTTCTTCTACTTAGGTGTTTTGAAACCCTAATTAGGACTCTTTTTTTACTTCTATTTAGGAGTATTAAAACCCTAATAAAGGGCATTCTTACTTCTGTTCAGGAGTTTCAAAACCCTAATTAAGACTTTTTTACTTCTATTTAGGAGTTTTAAAGCTCTAACTAGGTCTTTCTTACTTTTGCTTAGGAGTTTTAAAGCCCAAATTAGGGTTGACTTTGTTTCTTCTGTTTAGGAGTTTTAAAAGCCTAATAAAGACTTTGTCACTTTATAATAGGAGCTATAAAAGCCTATCAATTTCATATATTTTAGGAGGTAAAATATCTTAGTATGCGCCTTTCTATTATTTAAAGCCCACATGACCATCTTAGTAGAGCAATCACTCCTTATAGTTGTGAATTAATGACGAAATAATTTATGTTGTGACAATTGCTTTTGACTTTTTTGCATGATTTTATAAAGAATTTGCTGCAAAAAATCACAATTTTGTTTAATTTTTACAAATCACTGCTAAATGAAGTAAGATGTTTGAAAGGCTTTATCATTTTTTTTTTCCTAAATGTTCCCTTCTACTTTCTTCCTTGGCCTTAAACCATCGAGGATCATCTTCAATTTTACTTGTGGGAATTTAAATCTTCGCTGGTGGCAATTTTGATCTTCACTGTTGGCAATTTGGAGCTTTACTAATGGAAATTTGGATATTTACCAATGACAGTTTTTGGGGCGTTGTGGCCGAGTGGTTAAGGTCGTTGACTTCAAATCACTTGCCCCTCATCCCTGTGGGTTCGAATCCCGACAGGGACGTTGGATTGTTTCATGTGAGGAAGCTATCCAGCTAGCTTACGGAACGTCGGTGGTTCTACTCAGGTGCCCGTTCGTGCCTGAAATAATGCACGGAGTGGCACCTGAGATCTTCCTCCACCAGTAAAGCTGGAACGTCGCAATATGACCTATACTGTGTCGATGTGACGTAAAACCCCAAAAAACAAACAAACATGACAGTTTTAACTTGTGGCAATTTTGATCCTTACTAATGCCAATTTGGATCTTAATCGCGGCAGTTTTGATCTTTACTAGTGTCTATTTTGAATCTTTCTTTATGGCAATTTCACTTATTGCCATTTGAAATTTACTGGCGACTGTTTGGATCTTTACTTAAGCCAATTTGAACCTTTACTAGTACCATTTTGGATCTTTAGCGATGGCAAATGCATGTCATAATTGTCACTGGCCGATTAAACCTTATGACTATATGTTAAAACCAATATCCAATCCCAGGGCAAATGCTTAATTACCCTTAATTGTTTTCATTCTAAAATGACGTCTATAGTAATTGTTTCAGAAACTGATCCTGCGGGCCATTTCCGTGAAAAACGTGCAAATACTCCTGGGCATGAAATTTGATCCAAGTTTTGCGACATTTCATGTCAGTTATAATTGAATTCCTTCATAAATAATTCAATACTGCTTCCCATCCGATAAACTGACAATAATATGACAATAAAGTGAATTGACCGTGTTTCTAAATATTTACTGAAACTTGGTTCAATATTCTTCAAAGCGGTGAAAGGTGCATAGTTGTTTACAAATAATATTAAAATAAACAACCGTATTTGCCATTCTTTTATTTACTTAAACCATACATTGCATGTTATTCATACCCTATTACAAGTTTAATGTATAATTAAATAATGAAGGCTTTTATTGAATAAATTTCATTAAACTATTATTTTAATTATTTCCTATATCGATTCCGGTTATTCTGTAGGGAACTTACTTTATCAATGCCGATGTTTAATATAGGTAAAATTTTCAAGAATCACGATCGCGTTTTATGCAATTCGTAATAAACTCGCCTATAAGCATTTTCTCTTATATTTTCTATGAGTCTAAAACTTGATAGCCAGGGAGCAAGTTCCGTATTTTCTTAACCTCTATCCCGTGTAAAGGCCAACTTGTCCCAACAAAAAAAGTAATCTGATCAACTGCAAATTAGGGTTTTTGATAAATATAATATCACCTATGAGTCTTCAAGTCGAAAAGTAACAAGTACATGTGTATTCAAACTGATCATATAAAAATGGAACCTCTGTAGAGAGACCCTCTCTAGAACAGTAACCTCTCATCAACGACCAAAATTTTTCTTTCCTAAAAAGTGTTGCTCTGCAAAGTTGTACTCAGTAAGATTTTTTTCAGACTTGTATTCAGCAGGTGTAGTATTTGCAGGAATTGTATTCAGTGGTAGTATTCAGTAGTAGATGTATACAGCAGGGGCTGTATTCGCTGGTGTTGTATTCATCAGGAGTTGTATTCTGCATGGGCTGTATTGAGCAGAGGTTGTATTCAGCCAGGATTGTATTCACCAGGAGTTGTATTCGCAGGGTTTGTATTTAGCATGAGTTGTATTCAACAGGAATTCAACAGTAGCAGTTGTATTCAGTAAGGACTGTATTCAGCTATTGTTGTATTTAGCATGGGCTGTATTTAACAGGAATTCAGCAGGAACAGTATACAGCAGCAGTTGTATTCAGCAAGGACTGGATTCAGTAGGGGTTGTATTTAACATGGGTATTTTTCAGGAATTCAGCAGGAGTAGTGTTCAGAAGGAATTGTATTCATTCAGTCAGGGTTGTATTCAGAAGGAGTTGTTTTCAGCAGGGGCTGTATTCATCAGGAGTTGTATTTAGCAGGGGTTAAATTCAGTAGAAGTTGTATTCACAGGGATTGTATTTAGCAGGGTTTGTAAACCGCATGGGTTGTATTTAACAAGAGTTGTATTTAGCAGGGTTTGAAAAAAATAGCAATTATCTGTTATCGGTGTTAAATAGAATGAATTCTATTTGATCTACTTCTTTATTTTCAGATAGCAAGAAAAAGAAAAAGGTTCAAAAGATACCAGAGGAGCATGCACTTCCTATAGAGCCATATCCGGTCACATTTCGCTCACATACACCGACACATAAAGAGCTTGACAATCATTTGGAAGCCGCAGGTATAAATCTCCTAAACTTGATTTTAAGCATTTTATCTAAAACATTAAGTCGTGCTGTATCTGTATAAGTTTATAATTGCAGTTTGAGTTGTTCATATCGTAATGGGTTCGAATACTACTGAGGTCATTAAAAAAAAGCGCTAGTACTGGTTAGTTTCAAGAAGGCATACTAGTACTCGAGAATACTCGAGATTGAATAAAATAAGCTACAAAGTTTTTTTTTTTTTTTCAGATACATGCTAATTTTCATGAAAATTTTGAAGAAAAAATATTTAAAAGTAAAACATTATGAAATTAAACAAAAACAGCAATTTACACAATGCAAACAGCACTTACGATCCACGTAAATTACCAAAAAGAGGTCCAAAAATGCAAATTAAGCCATTACTGCGTTAGTCACGCAATAGAAATATGGTGCAAAATAAGTCAATACTCGGGCATATATTCGAGAAAATTGAACATATAGGGGACTGTATATTAGTTAAGGATATTAGATAAATAATAAGCTATAGTATATTAATTAGTTGACTTTAATTAAACATTATACAAGTATGGTTGTTATTCTTAGGACTGAATTGTTTTTATATTAAACATTACGGGTTTTATATTTAATGTTTTATATTTTCCAGGCAAAAAATATGCACGGTCTGGACGAAGAAGACAGTCAAAAGAATTTGAAGATTTAAACCTTGACACCGGGTCTGGCACCCTGTCTCATATTCAGGAGCACGCGGAGGAAGATTATGGAACCAGGCCGCGTGTTTATTCAATGTCGTATGCCCAGAAAATTATGGCGGGAACACATTTTAGCAGCAATCATAGCTCCCCTAGAGCATCCCCAGATATAAGACGAAAACTACTTAAAAGAAACAGTGGCAAGGGAGCTAATTCAAGTGGTTCGTCTAAAGAAAGTTTAACCGATAGTAATGAAAGAATTACCTCCCTTGAAAACTTATATTGGGTTGGAAATCCCGAGGCAATTCATTCAGTCAGACGTCCACGTAAAAAGGCGGAAGAACTTGAATTGGAATCAGAAATACACAAATTGAGTATAAAATGATGCATGAATTAAATTTAATACATTGTACATTTTTTTAATCAAACTGTATATGCTATGTGCCAAAAATAGTATGTTTTCTACGCCAAAGACAAGTGACAAGCTTTAACAATTTTTCATTTACCACTTAATATATAAATAGTGTCAATTTACAATCACAGTTATGACTTGTACATTATATGGTTGATACAAAATTGAAAATGAACAAGTTTGAATAAAAAAAGTTTCTTTCAGAAGACTAATGTCTTGTATTGGAATCGACTCGTATGATTGTCTAAAACCTCCAAATCTTTATATTGCAGTTATTCGTCGATTTCAATTTAAACAAGGTGCTTAGTATTGCGATTGGAATAAGACATTTAGCCATCTTATGCCATATTTGAATAACAAGCATAAAGAATTGCTTATTGCAACGATTTGAACTTTGTGCATATAACTTAGAATAAACCCTATCGATATACTGATGTCGGAAGCGTTTTGATATACAATGTACATGTAGTGCTTATTATATATCTACATAATTCAACAGAAAACTCCTGTCTTAACTTATGGTGATATTATGGTAATCATGACGTAAAATAAATTGACATTTTCTTGTGAAGTTTCATCTTATTACTTCCCTTTATGGGCCCTACGTTCAATCGTAAGATTTATCTCCCTTTATCTACACCGCATACGACACTGTTGTACCAAATGACTGTCATATTTAAAACGATGTTCTTAGAGCCGCGTCACGACAAAACCAAAATAGTGGGTTTGCGACCAGCATGGATCCAGACCAGCCTGCGCATCCACGCAGTCTGATCAGGATCCATGCTGTTCGCTATCAGTTTCTCTCCTTGTAATAGAGTTGGTAAGCGAAAAGCATGGATCATGATCAGACTGCGCGGATGCGCAGGCTGGTCTGGATCCATGCTGGTCGCAAACGCACTATGTTGGTTTTGTTGTGACGCGGCTCATACCAAATTCGATATTGCCATACCAAATACGATAGTGGATAGATATGCATATTGTCTTGCTACCAACGGCTTATATAAAGGCTTAAACAGTAAATTATCAGATTGATGAGCTGTTTCCGTTAAGTCTCGCGCCCGTAGTTGCTAAGCGACATTTCAGGTTATGAAAAATGGCTATAGAATTGGCACTGTCAGCAAATTAGGTATAACGTTGCATTTTACCAAATATTAGCAGTTACAACAGAAGATAGCAAAGGGAGCATGTATGCGCCTCAGGATGGAGAGGTCACGGGTTCGAATCTTTTCAATAAAACTGCTTATTTCCTTAAGAAAGAAATTATTTTGCATTTTATTTTCACAGACAAATGGGAGGTCGCTTTATTTTTTAGAACATGAAAATTGAAATAGTATTTTCATTGTTATTAATAGTTTTATTTATTTACCAGCTTTGATAAAGAAACTTGGCACACTTAGAAAGTCGAGAAAGCAGGAAAAGTAAACAGTTCTAAACAAAATCAAAAAATATATCTATCTTATAAGTACCGTTACAAATACAAGTTTTCGTAAATGTCAATGTTTCCGGCACACCAATGAGTACCGCTGACGAAATGAGCCGCGTCACGACAAAACCAATATAGTGGGTTTACGACCAGCATGGATCCAGACTAGCCTGCGCATCCGCGCAGTCTGATCAGGATCCATGCTGTTCGCTATTAGTTTCTCTACTTGTAATAGAGTTGGTAAGCAAACAGCATGGATCCTGATCAGACTGCGCGGACGCGCAGGCTGGTCTGGATCCATGCTGGTCGCAAACCCATTATGTTGGTTTTGTCGTGACGCGGCTCAAATATAACACCCGGTAAAGTGTGAGGCTCCAATATCACCATAGGTTTCATTGGGCCATAATTCAATCTGTTTTTATCTTTCTCAATTTGTATAAATTAAGATACAACTGTCGGAAAATCTTTTAATGCGTTTAAAGTTTGAACTTGACCGATCTTTGTGTGTGTAAATCTGCTGGGCTTATTTGATTATGTGTTACAACTCGAGTTAAGAGTGATAAGAAAGTTTGACGTTGAGATATCGTATCGTTGAAAGACATCTTTTTTTTCTTGTTCACCTTTAAACGAAATTTTAGTTGAAAGATTTTTAAAATTATAGGGTTAAATAATGTAATGACATTCTTTAGATCATTTTAGAAAAAAAATATCTGCTTTAGATCTACTCATCTTATGTCTTCAAAATTCAGAAATTTTAAAAGTGTATTCGTGCGGGACAGTATGGCTGATCAAACTTAATGCACTGCATAATTATGCGTCGCATTTGACGCATGAGTATAAACTTATATTATACCCCATTTCCGAAAGCTGATATATCCAGTGAAACGTACAAAACAAATTACAATCAATTTTATTACTTCAATTTACTTCTTTATGATGTAGGAAAATTATTATTTTTGTTTTGTTTTTGTAACAAACCGAAAATGCCAATTGGTGTCTAATTCAAACGGTTTTTTCTCACTTTCGTAACGATAGGTGCAAGAACTATAGAACTATAGGTGTCGTTTACGGTTTATTCATAAATGTTATAATTATGCATTTCAATTATTAACATTAAATATAATTTTATTTAAATACAATATTGCAATAAACAACACAAACAAATACGGTACAATAATATGAAAATGAAAATATATTCGATTCTGTTCTGCTATTTTCTGTTCTATTCTTTTCTGATATAGCAAACCTTCGACCTTTTGATAGTGTGCTATATTTATAATGCATTAATACGACCAGAATTTCTTTTTTCTTAAAAGCCGCATTGTGATCCGTAATGACGCTGCTGACGTAATGAATTACGTAAGGGTTAAATGTATGCGTACGTAGTTCTATATAGCAAAATCGTCATGTAAAAGTATCTTGATCTGGTACTTTGTAATGGTGCATGGATCATACTTGTGAAAATCACACGCGTGAAATATTGACCTAGCTCACATCTTGGCCTAACTGACATCTTGGCAAAGCTGAAATATTGACCTAGCTTACATCATAGCCTAACTGACATCTTGAGTTAAATGACATATTGACCTAGCTGACATCTTGGCTTAACTTACATCTTCACCTAGATGATATATTGACCTAGCTGATATCTTGGCCTGACTGACATCTTGACCTAGATGACATATTGACCTAGCTGACATCTTGGCCTAACTGACATCTTGGCCAAGCTGACATATTGACCTAGCTGACATCTTGGCCTATCTGAAATCTTAGCAAAGCTGACATATTGACCTAGCTGACACATTGGCCTAAGTGACATCTTGACCTAGATGATATATTGACCTAGCTGACATCTTAGTTTAACTGACATCTTGACCTAGATGACATATTGATCTAGCTGACATCTAGGCCAAGATGACATCTTGGCCTAACTGACTTCTCGACCTAGCTGGCATCTTGGTGTTTTTGACATCTTGACCTAGCTGACATATTGACCTAACTGACATATTGGCCTAGAAGACAAATTGTCCTAGCTCACAAAATGAGCTAGCTCTGAACTTTAGTCAGATTGAGACCTAGCAAAATTTACAAAGAATACGTTCCAGGTACTCTTATCAAGTACGAGTTAGATTTTATTTGTACAAAATGAATACTGTTATATATATAAACTGTCTATAATATAAACACATTTATAATTAGAAATCTAGGTGCTTTAAACTTTGGAAAAATGTTTCAATTGTTCGAAAATATTAAGGCGTCGTATAAAATTATATTCAATGTCAGAATCATTAAATATACTTGTAGTTGATAAAAATTTAAACATCGCAATCCACACCAACTTGCCCTTTATTCAGGCGTCCAAGTTGTGCATTATCAGCAGACGATAAATTGTACGCCAAATAATGACGTCACTATCGTCTACGGTACCGCATGCTTTTTAAACGCAGCAGAAACAAAACAGTGAAATTATTTTATATTTCATATTTAGATTAAATGGACGGATGTCGAATAAAAATCACAGCACAAAATTTATATAAAATCCCATCACTTTCCATGATGTTTTCTGTTCTCACTTATTGTGTGAAATAGACCGCGCAATCAGTTTCTTCTGAGTTGACGGACTACTTGCATGAACACCGTTCAAAGATGACTTTGACCCTGCTTTCGTCATAGAGCCTCCTCTTGGAGTTGCCGTTTTGGCGCCAATTTGTGAAGTCGAATCAGTGTGTCGGCGCGTCAACGGCTTTTTTGCATGGTGATTTTTATTGTCGGAAATTTTCAAGTCACTAAGTTTATGATTGTTTTCATCTTCCTCCTCATTTTCATTCAACTGTGACAATTTTTCAAGGTTAAACTTTCCTGTTGAAGCACACATGTGCAGATCTTCCAATTCTCGCGATCGTCTGCGACCTTGACCTTTAGCCTTTGCCCTTTTCACTGCAAAAACATGTGAGAAAACAATTCAGCGAAAAGACAAAAGAAAACCGAATAAACATATATCTACAGGGAATGATTAACCTATAACCTGCTAAATTTGTAGAATGGATTATTCCAGCTTTAAATTTGGAGCAGTTCATTCAATATTTTTAGGGATTTCAATATTAAATTACAAAAATTGAACTAATAATAACATTATAGAGCCTTGTCAGACTGCACGGCTGTGCATGCTTGTCTGGTTTTATACTGGTGACAAAGGTTAAGAATTTTCGGTACCAGCAGGTCAAAGGTTAACGTTTTAATTTTCCAGGAAAAGGAATGAATATTGGAATTACAACGCAAAAGTGCACAATTGTAAAGATTGAGTGGCATATAATAGAACCACAATGGTGAAGGATACTTGATAACGTTGTCGCTGAAAACAATGTAATCAGATATTCAGATTATTTGTAAAATGTGCATATTTGTCTTCTGCTAGTCAGCAATTAAAGCTACCCCGAGGGTTAAATGCGAATTTGCGTATGCCGAGCTATAGCCACGCTTTCGTAACAAGATCTATATCGATTCGTATGATCTAAAAAAAATGAATTACTTTGCGTTTAAACCTTGTACTGCTTTTTGTTTTAACAATATTTGACCTTATCCTTCATTTAAAGTACCGTGCCTCAGACAATATGCGTTCCATAAGAGTTCACGTCTGGAAATCACGTGGACCGTATGTGTGCCCAAGATATTTTAACTGTGTCTAAAATCGCCAGAATCTTTTCTTCAAACTCTGATCAAACTATTTTCAGAAGTTTTAATTGAACTTTTAATCTGCTGCAGTATAACAGGCTCCAATCGGAACACCTCGGCTATTATTCATAATAACCTTTGACTTCTTATCCGAAGTTCAACGGAAATTGCCGAGAAGATGCGATTGGAGCAGACTCTATACTCTTGATCATTCGGAACTGCCTCGGCTATTATCTATAATATATATCTTATCCGAAGACTGGCGGAAAGGGCCGAGTAGTTGCGATTGACCCTTGATAGCTGAATTCTTTGCCCCTTGACTACTCTAGATGCAAAGCAGAACAAATTCATTACGGTAAGAGTTACAAAATTTTTGAGAAGAAGGTCAAGGTCTACTAACCTTTTTCGTCTGCCATATCTGATATTAAATCTTTTGGTATTGGAATTCCATGTTTCTTCCAAAACTTGATTAGATCTTTGAAACCTTCTTCGTCCCCAGGTGTCGGCGCATCTTCAGCTGAAATTATTGGAAAACGTTAGCTATAGTATTTACTTAAAAGTTGATCGTTAAGTTTCGTTCATTTCCGTACATATGGTATGGTATAGAAATTGACAGCTCGTATAAGTTACCTTTGCGATGTTCTACATGCATAAAGAGTTTAAACACCCCAGTGAGATTTATAAGGCAAAAATGTGTATCACCTTCGAATGAAAACTCAAATCTTTTTAAAAAACAAAAAACAGGTATATAATTTTTTTCTCAACAGCGTATTCTGTGAAATAAGTACTTTGTCTGTTCGTTTATAAAACAAGTTTACCACTCGTCAGCCAAACGCCATGGGAAAGTTAAAAAGAGAAATTTCAATGGGAAAATAAATATACAACAGAAAGAACGAATGTAAAAAGACATCTTCAGATCATTTTTATACGATGGTTCTCAACCGATGTTTTTCACACAACATTACATTTTACTTCCCATGGATGCCATTTTAGAGGGTCATTTCCAGATTAGATAAAAAGAGGTCTCACAACGATATCATTTTGATATTGTAAGCTCATAAAAATAACCTCTATAACGCTAAATTCTTCATATTTCAAACTAATTTGACATCTAAATCATTTGTTTACTCGCATATTTATACATTTTGTAAATCATATGTATTGAATAATGTACCCAAAAATGGCTACAAATTTTGTCAAGGGAGCTAAATACTGTAAAAATCGGAATTGCTTAACATCGGGCCGCATTTTCCGTAACCTCACACAAAACGTCTTCGGAACTTAAGTTCATGACTTGGCATTATTTTAAGTATGAAATAATTGTACATCATTTGTATATATATATATATATATATATATATATATATATATATATATATATATATATATATATATATATATATATATATGAGATTTTGTTAAACAAATTCGGAATCCAATCGATATTGTACAATAGAAATTGCATTTTAATATACTTTCACACAATCCATTGATTCAAACTTTTCAAGACTTTTAGCACATTGAAAATAATTTGCTTTTGTAGGATGTTAACCAGTATATGAACTTTCAAAATTTTAAATACTTAAAAAAATAGACGGAGATAAATGCCACAGATATAAAAGAAATATAATCCTTTCTTAACTTCACTTGATTGATAATTTTGAATACATTTCTCTCTTAAGAATACACTTTTATGACTTAATTCGCCATAATTTTCAATAGAGCGACACAAGTTTAATTGCCAGTATAAATTTAAGTGTCAATATTATTGAAAAGGGTCAATTTTTTGGTATTTTATATAGATATAACAATGTCTTATAGTTGATAAACTTTTAATAACAAGCTTTTAGGATAGCTTTGCAATATTTATCTCCATTAAAACCGCTGTCGGGAAAAAGATGAATGATTTAAAGAATTTAACTTATTGAAAAAAAAAACTAGATGGGCTTGGTAAAAGATCATAATTAATTTGTTACCCACACCTTTAGTGACTTAAATGTACTGAAAAACCACAATTTACATAAATTATTAATGTTTAAAACAGTCGAAAAAAATTGACAAACTGCCTAACAACATTTTGTACAATCTCAATTCCTAAAATATTTTAAGACTTAAATTTATTATTTAAGAGCATATCACTTTGCCCCCTTTGATGTCTCATACATAAGGGTTTTTTTTAATCTATTTATGGTTTATTTCATTTTTTGATTTGTTTCAGTTTTGTTGTTGTTGTTGTGTTTTAAGTCGTTGTTGTTGTTGTCGTCGTCGTCGTCGTCAACGACGACGTTGCTGCTGCCACTGTCGTTGTCGCTTTTGTTGTTGTTGTTGGTTGTGGTGGTGTTGCTGTGTTTTAAGTGACACTGACACTATTAATATCATAATTATGGCAACTTTTACGCTTTCCTTCTGGAGGAAGGTCTCAGATGCAGCACCTTTGGCACGAGCGGACATCTGAGTAGTGAACCACCGGTTGTCCGTAACCTAGCTGGATAGCTTCCTCTTAGCGGATTTAGGACACGCAGTGGCGAGAGGTCAGTTGTTCAAACATCTATATATGGTTATTCTAATTATGAAAAATGACACAAAACTGAAAAGCGTTGAAAGGCTTTTCACTTAATTTGGGCAAAGAATAGCATAATAATATGTTTTTCAATAACTTTTGGCTTAATTATCATTTGCATATATTTCTGTTTAAGCTCCCCAGTTGATCTATGTAAGAAATTCAAATCTTATTTGTTTAGGCTTTTGGACTTGACCTCAATGAAGTTCCTCTGAAATGAAAAAAACGGGCTGAATTTACTTTTTTTATCATTATATCTCTACGCCATTACTAACGAAATAGGGGCTAAATTTCAAAAAATAATTTTGGAAGCAGACGACTTTTTCACAGCATGCTAAGCACAGCATGCAAAGCGTTAAATTTATTGATAGTTGATATTTGTTGCTGTTGTAATTGTTGTTGTTTTGTGTTTTGTGTGTGTGTTTTTTGTTGTTGTTTTTTTGGCGGGGGGGGGGTATTTGTATTTCTTTTTCTTTTTCTTTTTTTTCTTACACGGGACCATTAAGAAAAATAAATCCCATTTTGTGTGGCCTTTTAAGTGCTATAAATTATGCTTTAACATGTGTTTTATTTGCATTTTGTATGGTTGAAATTAAATTTTGAAAAGAAACTATCAATTCTAGATAAAAGGCGTTTAATACACTTTCAATATAGTTGCATTTTACTACAAACACCATTCATCAAACCTGCTTTTAAAATATTTTACATCAAAGCTCGCTATTTCAAAGACTTGTATAACTTAACAGGTGAATTTCCTTTTCAAAAACTCCATTAATTTTACATAGGAAAACAAGTGGATCATGGCAGGTGAAAGCGGGTTTTCAACTTCAAACGGCTAATTATTGTTAAAACCAGGTCACGTTTTTGTGTGTTTCATTTTGTACCATCTTCGAAACAATTTATTATATCTTTACGATGTCATTAAAAATGATGAATGCCCCAATTTTAAGTATTAACTAAGCTGCCCTCACTTTTAATGCTTAAGAAAATCTGTTTATGGTATTAATTTCTGAGTGTTTCAATAGATAAAGTGAATTTGATAGTCTCTTTATGTCGTCTGATACAGAAAAATGAGCTGTAATTGTTTTTAGATCACAAACAGCGTCAGGTGTATCATTTTTTAAACAACATAATGATATTTGATTTAATTTAATGTTGTACACCACTAAAAGCGACAATCCTAAAGATTTGGAATATATGAAATTAATAAAATTCTCAAAAGTTCTGCACTGTTTTACCATACCGTTTATGTAGAAAAAAATGTATATAAAGAATTATTATTATTCAATACATTTGCATGTAGAAGCAACATAAATCAAAAGCACCTGCATCTTTCTAAGGAACTGATTTATCTATATTCGTTAATCAAAACAATCTAGGCTTTCAGAATCTCCATTTAATTATAGTTAAAGTGGATTGGTCTATAATTATAGGCATATTTTTCATACGTATTTCAAAAACATGAAAACAATAGAAATATATCATTTGGATATTCTTATGACATATTTCTGGAAAACAGTTTTTGATAGAGTTCTAAAGTGATTTAGTGAGCTCACATGTATGACGAAATATATATAAAATTATATTTATTTGAGAACACTTTATTTTCTGTTAAATCATGACTTTTCCCAGTGGCACCACTAGTCAGATTACCAAATCCATTCCCAATGGCAAATATGCTTATTTTTTTCCAAATCTTTAAAGAAAATCCCAATTGAATTACAATTGAACTAAAATTTTCGATATCAAAACTAAGTTCATTCCAGTAAGATATCAGACAGATGTTTCCACACATTTCATCGTCAAAATTTAAAGTATTTTTTATGCTTTGAATGATATTTGCATTGGCTGGAATAAACAATTTTGCGCAGATCAAAATGCTATGCCAAAAAGGCATGAAGGAGGTTTCAAAAGGTTTCAGATATTTTTCCCAATTAAGCAATTTTACGACGCAAAATATCCCAAACTGGCCACGGTACTTTTTTCCCAAAATAGTAAGGAAAAGGTCTGTAAATATTTTTAAGCTGTGCCGGATAATGAATCCAACACCATATGTATTTCTTTTGGGTTTTGTTTTCATGTATGATACTGAATACTGTCAAAATAATCAGGTATGTTATTACAGATCTTCTATGATAGACCAATTCACTTTAATGCATATGTTAAAATAATTTTGCATGAGCATATTTTGCACCGTCATGTTAACGGCACCGTAGTCTCTGTCACAAAAACGCTCTTTAGTACAAGAAGTATATTTTTCAAACTCACGTGCGAAAAGGGCCATAAATGTCATTATCTGATTAGTGTATTCTGAAAATATATCTAAAATAAGCCAATCAAACAGACACATGTCGAAACCTTCTGTATGACCTTTGACACTGATTATTTGGAAGGCTTTGGACAATATGAGTGTTGACATAACATGGCTGCTTTTCAATGATTTTGATGCAGTGTTACTATGTTTTTTATAAGAGTTTCAAAATTGATAAAAATGTCAATTGGTATTCAAGATAAGCTATTGACTGAAAAAGTTTATGTGAATTGTATGTTAAGATATGGCGTAATTGTATCAACTTCAAAGACAGCAAAATGATCTGTAAAATTAAAGTGCCGACAATTTAGATTTGAGTGGATTTTCATGTAAGTCTCTTCGTGGCATTCAGGCTGAATTTTCAGGCCCGGTTACAAATATTGAACAAAACATTTTGTTTCATTTCTGTCATAACAATTCTAAAACATTTTTTTTATCTTTGTTTAAAACGCAAAAATATAATGAGTAATGGGTAATGCTATACCAAAAGAAACGCGAACGTGCATATTCAAACGAAATGAATTGACAAAAACGCGACACGTGTTTTTGTCTGCCAGAAAGTTTACAAAAGTGTAAATAAGCGATAAAGACGAATTTGAAATGTTTTTGTTTTTGAATCGCGTGTTTAGAACAAAGATAGTATTGGTCTGTCGACATACAATACAGATGTACTTATATTTCAC